TTAAGTTAGAATGAATTCATCAACCACCAACTGACACATTGTTTTATGGTAAATCTCTCTTTTTTCCACCTCCCATGGAGTTGGCTGCCATTTTCTCTCCAGTAAAAGGCTTTTTCCTGCATGAGCGATAAATAAGTTATTACACTCATGTGTCCTAAGGCGTAGAGAAGACTGTCTGAATATAAATAGTTAATTTGCCTGAACAGAGTCTCACTTTGTGCCATATGAATATATGTCTAATTATATTTTTCATTGTGTGTGTGTGTGTGTGTGTGTGTGTGTGTGTGTGTGTGTGTGTGTGTGTGTGTGTGTGTGTGTGTGTGTGTGTGTGTGTGTGTGTGTGTGTGTGTGTGTGCGTGCGCAGGAGCTTTTGGTCGTCTGGAGATCCAAGATAGCGTTGCCTTTCAGAAACAAATTTGCTGACGTTTTACTCTAAATATCACCTCAGATGGGATGAAACTGTGTGAGAAGATTAGCTGCACGTTGTCTTGTGTGCATTGTAGTGATGGAAAAGTAATCTAACCACTTTGTGCTGATGGTGAATACTTTAGTGTTAAACCAGTGAAGTGGATGGGAGCGAGTGCAATTGGCAATTTTACCACACATACTAATTTATTGTGTAATTAATGTCTTCATTGTATACTTACTAGCGATGCTGTAGCTGCACAATAATTGTCCTACGCGTGTAGACACTCTTTCCAATATCATAATTATTTGGCAGCCAGTTATTTGGAATCTGATACTTTGTAAAATGAATATTTATTGACTTTTTTATCTTCTTGATCATTTTGCTGCAATTTTCTAAAGATTTTCAAATTCCTGCTCATAAAGTTATCAACAAGTGCTAATATTAATGTGTGTGTTTATTGGTTTTAGATTAGAGATATCATTTAAAGCTCGTATTGTGATGATGCAGTCCTGGAAGAGAAAATGTAAAAAATATGATGTTGTTAGTGCCAACAGAAGTGTGTCAGACAGGAATACTCAGGAAGGAGAGCTCAGAGAGTCTTATTAGCAGCTTTTTTAATATATTTTTTTCCTCTGAGATCGTGATTCATATTGCACAGGCAGGAAGGCAGAGGATGTCAAGTTAGAGCAGTACTGAAGTACGTGTACGCTTCAGAGGAAAATGTGGATGCTTGGGTTTTCTCATCAGAAAGGTTGGGGAGGTTCCTGTGTGGGGTGTATGGGTTCATGTTCTTGTTGATTTCTTGGTATTACCCCCTCTTTTGGTACATTTGGGTCCTTAAAGGTGTGAGTCACTGAAAAAAACATTAAATCAGTCACTCGAGTTTTCATGCAGGCTGAACATGAAAATAGTCTCCTACATCTATGTGCTGCGTTAGCTTCTAATAGAAAGTAGACGGTGAAATTCTAGGATTTGAACATCCTGACACATCTACGTCAAGCATTTGTTTGGACTCACCCATACTGGCTTGTGACCGGGAAGGCTGCTGTGGTTGTTTTAGGGTTAGCAGAGATCAGCTCTTTTTTACAAGACACACCATGCCAGCAAATCGGCGTAATACTGCCATAACGATGGGTCTTATAAACGTGCCATGCCGGCATGGCGTTGCTTGAATTTTGCGCCATTCGTTCCTCCTCTCTTGGTAGTAATATTTATATAATGGTTTGTCTTCTAAATGGCTATTGTGCTATGGCGCAACAGAGAGAGGTGTCCTGATGACGCGGGGAGTTGATGCCGAGCTCCGGCCGGCAAATATATTGAAAATGAAAGTAAAAACACGAGCTTCTCTGTTAGAGCTGAAGCTCCGATCATCAGAGACTCCACAAGGACTGATGGGGACGGACACCTTTAGGGGCAGCTTGTTGAAAAAGCTTAACGATCGCTGCTTCAGTCACAAAAAAAAAAGCAAGTTATGTCGAGGATAAACGGAAGTCCGTGGAAATCACCTAATCTTTCATAAAAAGAATGCGATTGTGCCCCATTACCGCCACATTCGGACCATTTATAAACAGTCTAAGGGTCCCCGATGCCACCAAAGCGTTGCGGCAAATAGACAGCATTGTTTTGTAAAAACGGCTAACGTCTCAGCTAGCAGAAGCTAACCACTGGCATTAGCTTCTGAACCACACAGCAGAATCTCCTCCAGGCTTGTGTTTTTTGTGGAGATTAAACATCAACGTCGCAGAGCAAATGGAGTTAGTTGTAGAGTTGAGTCCAAGGCAAGATGTCCAAATATCCAGGAAGAAATAAGACTCCAAACCCTGCCATTTTAAGCTCTTCTCCCCAGGGTTTTTTTGCCCTGAGTACGACTTGCAAGGCATTCATTCCTACAAGAGACCATTGCAAATGCATTGATTAAACAAGTGAACGACACCTTTAACTGTGATCTAATGTGTGTTACAGAGGTAAAAAGGTATTGGCAATGAAAAGTTATTTGGTTTTAAATAAAATGATAAATATAATATGCTGTTCAATAACTAAAACATGTTTCATTATGATGGATGAGTCAGCTTGAAGCAGAAAAGGGGCTCAGGATACAGATACAGTATTTTGTTTTTACCGATTTGTTCCGTTTTTACAGACTAGTTATTACCTCTTATGTCTGTAGGGTTTTTTTGGCAGAGAAAAATAAGAAGGCGGATGATTACAACTGGATTATTTATGAACACAATCTCTGCAGACCCAACAGCTTTCAGCAGCTCAAACACAAACATTACTCACTGTTGCCATGCTGGAGATGACTCATTTGTTTTTATTTATTGTCTTGTGTAACATTTGTGTGACAAATTATTTTATGTTTGACCGACAGAGTGTTCTTTGTATGACGTGCAATATGACCAAAATCTCATTTCCTGGTTTCTATCTTGATAACTAGAAGGAGCACAGTACAGTCCCGTTTCTGTAAATGTAGTGAATAGCTCACCACAGGGAATGTGGTATTTATTTAGAAATCATAAACGAGATTATCAGAAATTTACACAATAAATATGAATACTTTTCTCTTTACATTTAGAGCGTCACCGTAACAAAATGAGGCTAACGTTAGCTCACTTCTTCTGTTTTCTGATGCAACGTTTGTTGCAGTTCTGGTCAATGATGCACCAACGAAACTTCATAAAAAAGTTTTCCCAAATCACAGAGTTGATTGTTTTGTTACAAATTTTGTGAATAATGTTTAATGTGTCATTTTCCTGCAGCAGACCCCTTCTCCTCAGCTCTCATTAACTCTCATTCATTCAAAGGATTTTTTTTTTTGCTGTAAACAGTTTACTTAGCATCACCAGATGATAAATGAGGGTATAGGATCACATGATTGATATTTTTATTTATTAATTAAATAGATTTTATTGAGTCGGAAAAGGGGACAATGCCGTCTCAGGGTCTGGGATGAGGTCCTGCCTCAAGTGGAGGAGTTTAAGTATCTCGGGGTCTTGTTCACGAGTGAGGGAAATATGGAGCGAGAGGTCGATAGGTGGATTGGTGCAGCGTCTGAAATGATGCAGGTGTTGTACCGATCTGTCGTGGTCAAGAGAGCTGAGCCAGAAGGCGAAGCTCTCAATTTTCCGGTTGATCTACGTTCCTACCCTCACCGATGGTCACGAGCTTTGGGTAGTGCCAGAAAGATCGAGATTGTGGACACCAGCGGCTGGAATGACTTTTCTCCGTGGGGTGTCTGGGCTTTCATTTTTGGGCCATTCCCATCTGTACCGGGTCGGCCCGGGCCGGGTAGCCCCAGTCGGCCCCAGCCTGGCCCGGTTGATTCCACACATCCTTGTCTTAAGCCCATGTGGGCTGATTCTACCCACCAATCAGAGGCTTGCTCTAATGGAAGGTGTGAATTTGCTGTCAGCAGTGGGTGTGTTGGCCCTGGTCGGCCTGAAGCAGACCCCCTCGAGAAGAGGGCTGAGAATGAGCCTTGGTTGGCCCGGAAAAATACCAGGCCACCCAGATATGTAAACAACCTACGCTACCCGGCCCGGGCCGACCCGGTACAGATGGGAATGGCCCATTAGAGACAGGGTGAGAAGCTCAGTCATCCGGGAGGGGCTCAGAGTAGACCCGCTGCTCCTCCATATGGAGAGGAGCCAGTTGAGATGGCTCGGGCATCTAGTTAGGATGCCTCCTTGACGCATCCCTGGTGAGGTTTTCCAGGCACGTCCATCCTGGAGAAGACCGAAAGGAAAACCCAGGACACGCTGGAGGGACTGTCTCTCGGCTGGCTAGGGAACACCTTAGGTCTCCCCCGGGGGAGCTGGCCCAAGTGGCTGGGGAGAGGGAAGTCTGAGCCTCCCTGTTTAGGCTACTGCCTAATGTAATCTATTAATTCTTACCTTGAAAGAAAAGCTTCTTTCTTTATTATTTATCAGAAGCTCGTGTACATTTAAGCCTGCAGGATTGAACTTTTCCTTGTTTTCTTTTAGATCTGTTGTAAAATCTAACAAATGCATTTAAATGCTTCTATTCCTGTTTTTGTTTTGTTTTTAAACAAAAGACATGAAAAGAGTGAGAATAAATGACACGCCATTAACGTACTTCAAATGTCCCTGACATAAACAGCAGCCTCACACGGTGAATGTGTGTGTTTAGATAACCCAGCTGGCCCTGTTATGAATGTGGAGGGAAAACATGGATAGTTGGAGTTGGGAACGTTTCAGAAGATCTGCCTCTGAGGCAACAGCAGAGCTGTGCCACCCTTGCAGCATTGTGTCTAATTAGAGTCTATGATTAGTGCGGACTATCGCCAGTAAAATTCAATCCATCAGTCGGGCTCAGATTACTACGGGTCCCTGTGATCCAGCTATCACTTTGTCTCTGTCACACTACAGCTGCTAATATAAAACCAACCGAATGAATGATTTCTACTCAAGGCGCAGCTTGATTGAAGCTGATTACATTTAGCGAGGGTTTATTATATTTCCATAATTTGTGTGCGGGGTTTGGGTTTGTGGGGGTGGTGGTTAGGAAAGTGGGAGCAGAAGAGCTTGAACAGTATCGTAAGTGATTCCTAACTTTTTTTTTTCTTTTCTCCCAGGTTGCCAGAGCCAAGGGCAAATCCCATGGACCGTCAGGACTTTGAGGACAACGATTCTGGACCGTCCATGGACCACGCCCCCTGATATGATCAAACAGACTCCTTGTCCATCCATCTGTCCTTCATAATCTGCTCCATCCAGCTGTCGGGCCAGCCTCCTACCCCCATTCCTTGGCAATAAACTGACCTTGAGAAAGGCTGCTGTGACAATTATGGATGACTACATCTTTTCTACTTTTTTTAAAATTCCTCACTAGCTACAAACTTTCATTAATTGGAGCGTGCAAGTTATGTGCAATCAATTACCATCAGGCTCAATTTCCGCAGCCAGTCAGAGTCTTGGCTCGCTGGTGAGGCTGGCTGACTCGGAGAGGGGCTCGGATAGGCAGCTGAGCACAACATCTGTTAAACCCAGCAGATGTCAGGGGGTTGACACTGTGCTTTATACTCTTCATTCATTTGCAATATCACTTAGCTTCTTCCATTTAGACACTCTCTGATAAACAAAATGCCTTATGTCTTAAAGAGATTCCATTAAACATAATGTTTTTAGGGTTTTACGATGATTTTAGAACAAACGATGGATACGTGTCCCGCGGCCTTTTCCCTTTGCTGTTCCGAATGATTTTTTTCACACTTCCTTGTGTGCTTGTTGGATCTATTATAGGGATCGGGGGACGTTTTGACACCTATTGACCAGTAAGCACCGCTGAATCTTTGTTAGATAAAAATCGAAGTGCATTTTGGCTATGTGAAAAGGTGCATTGTGCACATTTATCAACTGTGTGTGTGTGTGTGTGTGTGCGTGCGTGCGTGCGTGCGTGCGTGCGTGCGTGCGTGCGTGCGTGCGTGTGTGTGTGTGTGTGTGTGTTAATGTAAAGGGTCATTACTCCCAGCCAGCCTGCAGCATATGACAGATTACGGTCGAGAGAAACGTATGCAGTTCTCACTTTGACCTGCTCAGTCACAGCTCTCCCTCGTGATGCGCTGCTCACGTTTTTGTGAACATATCACCAGTTTGTTTCCTTTATGATTTATTCCGTTGGCTTAAATATCAGATCTAAGGGTTTCATTAATGTAAGTGTGATGAGTTTAACGATGACATGATGCCACCGCTGTGGCGCTGCATAGACACACTGAAGCTGCACACCTACCAGGGGAATTGTTGGTGTGTCAACAGCCTATTGAAACAAACCAGCAGGAGCCTATCCTGTATTCTGCTGCGACATCAGACGGTGGTCTCAGTGATGTTTTCGTCTCTTTTTAATTAGTCTATTTTGGTTTAAAATCTATAAATAAAGAGGTTGCTTTTGAGATCGGATGTAGACTCTGACACCCGTGTCGTTCTTTCAAGAGATGTTAATAAATTATTTGCATCATGTCATAAAAAACAAAGTTCAAACACAGAATTCAGTTTTATCAGCCGAAAACAACGATCGTCGTATGGCTTTTTATTTTTTTGTTCTTCACGGCAGCTAGAGAGAAGAGAAATGGATGAACTGGCTTTAAAATAGAATTCAGTGTGGGGGAGGGGAGGATTTCAGGTTTTTCCTCCCATTAAAATTCAAAGCAGCAGCACATCTTGATAAGACTGGGAATAGGAGGGTTGGGAACAACGGAGGCAGACCAGGACACCTCTCCAGGGTCTCTGTTTACCTCTTCACACGTTTAAATGTCGATGACGTCTGCGCCTCCAAACACGCCCAATCCAACTTTGATCAACTCACAACCTCTTTTTGAAGTCCTTTGTCTCTCTGACATTCATTTTCTGTCCCTCATCTTTTCATAGCGAGATGCCATCTGCAGCGCATTAGCATTGCACCTGCTCTACCTGAGATACTTCATTTAGCCGGAAAGTGCCCTGCTAGCCTATAATTGAGGTATTGACTTTGACATTGATTCATGGATATTTATTTAACCACCGCGCCTTGCCTTCTATGTGGTAGTGCATAATTTCACACCCTTTAATGACTTTGAACTTTTTAGATCTTTCGGGAACTGATGGACTGCTGATTGAAGTCCAGTTCACTTAAATCCTCAATATCATGACTGTATTGGATTTAAGTTGGCTACTGGGCACAGAGGGATACAGGCTGTTGTGTTATCAAATACAGAACGATCATCATCTCCTTATGTTCAATTTTTTCATTCCTCGAGGCAATAATAAGAAATCTGAGAGGGGGGCAAGGCGCCTGGCGTCTGTAGAGGAAATGGAGGGAAGATTGTCTGATCTCATTTAGGCAGAAAGACCACAAGGTTCTCTTTTCTTCCACACCCAATTACACTTGCTCTTCCAGGTCCACATCACTGAGCATGTTCACAAAGGGGGCACAAAGATGAGCAAATAAACAGGAACACAGCCGGAAGACCTCCACTTTCCTGATGGGGCAAAAAGGACTATTTGTGCATTTGTATTGACATGAATTAATTGCTTCATGGCTTGTGAGATTGAATTAGCTACGTGACGTGCTTACCAGTGGAGATGCAGCTTTGATTGCTGCCTTTAATAGAGGCTGTTTTTTCTCCCATCCTTTTAAGAAGACAGTTGCAGGCTGAGGTTTCACAGTAATGGAGCAGATCCACCACCCTCCGATCCACTGTGACACGCCTTAATGAGTCTGTTTATTAGCATGAAAAAGCTGCAAGAGCAAAGGAAGATTTCTCTAATAAAAAGTCTTGTTTTTCTCGTAGGTGTGTGTGTGTGTGTGTGTGTGTGTGTGTGTGTGTGTGTGTGTGTGTGTGTGCGTGCGTGTGTGTGTGTGTGTGTGTGTGCCCCCTTTTAAGGACTTTTGACGATGCATTAGCCAGTACAGATGGTTTATTTGCAGAGCCCTGTGCCTCCACCCTCTTTCAAATCACACGTTCTTGTAATATTCAAGAAAATCTATTGCTTGGCTCATTGCAAATGCACTTTATTTATCTTTCTCCTTGGGTTTTATATACGCACACACACACACACACACGCGCACACACAAGAACAGGCATTTTTCCAGGAATTCTACCCCAGGATTTTTACATTTGTAACTATTTCCCTTGAATCCAACACTATAACGCACAGCTCATTTATTCTGAAGAATAAAAGCTTGTTTTGCCTTCAGATGTGACATTTTGAACCCTTGTTTTAACCTTTTATTCTGTTTTAAATTGTTGGAGATGTTTATCCATGATTAAATGGTTTCAAAACTCACTAAACAGATAAAACCCATAAATCAGCCTATAGTCATCTCATCCTTGACAGGTCTTGATATTGGAAAAATACAACCTCTGGTGAAACTTCACACTTATTACGCCAGAAATCAGAAATGTGGGAGCTTCTGGTTGGCCAAAGCACAACAAAAATGATCAAAGACAGTAGTCAGGAGAGGATTATTTAGATTTTTGTTTTACTGCCACAGTACCTTTGGGGTCATGCAGTTGCAAGGTAAAGCCAAGTGTCTGAATTTGAGTCATGTGATCAAATATTCTAAGCACAAAAGTAAATCTACTACAAAACAAGAACACAGAGCTTTGTTTAACATGTTTACTTGTTCACTAAATGGTGCACCTTATAGAGGACATGTAAAGATTTCTATTTTTGACGTTTTACCACTGTTGTGAATAGTTATGCACCAAATATTCAGTTGGGTGTTGCATAAATATTCAGTGGTTGAGCTCTCTGAGATACTCGCCTGAATCTGAGGTGATGAACATTATTAGTTTTGCTGGTTTTGGCAGAGAAAATTCAATATATTTACCATAATCTGTCTCCATAAAATGTAATTACACATATCTGTGATCACAGGCTGCATGGCGGGTGCAGTTAGTAGCACTGTTGCTTCACAGAAAGAAGGTCAACAGTTCAAAAAACACCAGCTCTGCCTTTCTGCCTGGAGTTGGCATGTTCTCTACGTGCATGTGCAGGTTTGGGTTATGCTTCCTTTCACAAACTAAAAACATGCATGTTAGGTTGATTCGAGACTTTAAAGACTGTGAGTGAGTGCTTGAATTGTCATCTGTGTCTCTGTGGCCCTGTGATGAACCTGTTTAGGGTGTCACCCACATCTCGGACGATGACCGCTGGAGGCAGGGACCAGCTGGTGAGGATGAAGCAGTTCAGATAGTGGACGGATGGTTATCTGGGATCACTTGTTGCTTATTTACACACACAGGACTGCAGCTGTAATTAAACCACTCTTTACCATCAACCTCAATACACTTCTACTGCAATAAACTAAGATTTTATACTATTAATCATCTTGAAGTAAAAAAAGCACTTTTAAATGTGTAGTATATGTGGAAATAATTGAATTTGCAATACTTAAGAAATAGCTTTTTCTGTCAGGATTTACAATTTGATTTTAAATATTTTAGGTTTTAATTTCACATAGCCACACCTGGCAAACTGTCAATATATGTATGTACTGTATATAGTCTGGCCATTAGACAGAAATGTGTCTTTCAAACTGTCTCTGCGTGCAATTGGACAGCACAAGGACCAATAAGAACAATGTCTGACATACACCATTGAAGAAGAAGCAAATACAGTAATTCTCAAAATAAAGTTACCTCTGTCTGAAAAGTCAAGTCTAAATAGTCCAAAGCTGATACCATCTTTGTAGTTTTTGTAGTTTTTTTCTCCATCGTGGTTCTAGCGTTAAAGGCATGCTATGCCATTTTTTCATCATTTTAAATCTTTTTCTTGAGCCAGTGTGTGCTGAAATGAACCTTTACACAGTTAATGAAACGTCACTCAGACCTCACCACCCCCTGTAGCTAGAATATCTCACTTGCAACTTCAGAGTCAGACACAGGCCTGTCCCTGTTGGACTAGTAAAGTGGAGTTGACATGTCAGTGCTGCAGTCTGCTTCCAGCACATCCCCTGCATGTTTTAGATTGTGAACACAGCTGATTTGTTTGGTTTTGTGTTGAATCGCTCCTGTAGAAACTGATGAACGCTGAGGAGACATTTTTGCAGTTAGATTAAGGACCGTGATATACTTGCTGTTTGAAAATGCAAATGCGTGTTAAAAATGCCTGTCACAGGTCACTTGCGTTTATTTGATGCGTCATTTGTGCATGTCCCCTGAAATTAACGTAAACGCTGCAACATATGTGTATCCAGTAGGTGGCGTCAACAAAACGAGCGAGACACACTCACCATGGTCACCCCGTCTCTGGTTTAGAAATCATTCATACCATCTTTGACACTGCTGCTGTCTCTTTTTCTGTCATGAACTCAAAATTAACCATGTTTGTTTTGGTTGTACCAACAAACCTGGCTCTGTGTCCGGTCTGAGTAGTCTAGTGTGCCCCCTAGTGTAACCCCTTGGTACTACATGCAGTGCAGTGCTGTGCAGCAGCAAATACGTGAACAAAGAAGCAGCCTGCGCCAACGTGAGGTAAAACAGCAAGTGTACCACAGCCCTAAGGTGTTAAAAAGATGAGCGCACAGCGAGAAGATAAGCTTCATTTTTAGTTTTACTAACGGACATTAGGGGGTGCTAAAAGCAAGCCGCTTTGTATCTCTTTAAAGTAAAGATGTGTATTTTCCCTGGTGATAGGGGGCAGTACATACCTAAATCACTGCAAGCTGTATTTTTGTGTTCAAGTAAGACATTACCAACGGTGGCCATTAAGGTCAAAAATACCTGGAAGTGCAACCTCCAGGAAAATGACAATCACCTCAGACTCCTGTTCATCACTGGCAACAAGTGAAGAGGTAAATGTGTAAAACAACAACATTCATGAATGCTGAAAGTTTTGTAACAGCTTGTTACAAATCAGTAAATGCATCTCGTCTTCACGGCTCCTGTAGAAGGAAACATGGCGTTGCCCTGAGACTTAGACCCGCTCTCATGTATGTTAGAATTGATTTTTATGGTTATCTGAAGCCACCATTATTTTTGAACAACTGGGCATCATTGAATTCATTTTCAACAACATTTGGATGGATATTTCCAGAGATTAACGGTATGAACTACACATTGTCTCTTTAAGCCTGCCCAACAAACTTGGAGCGCTGTGATTGGCCAGACAAAAAGCTTTTGGGGCAAATGGTAACCCTTCTGATTCTACAAAGTAGCGTGGCTAGACCGACCTGTAGAGCAAAATCTTTTGCTACAGGTGTATTTGGTCTAAATTTCTAAACCTTTACATTCAGTGAGTCTATAAAGAAAATCAGTGAGTGTCAATTTTAATGCATTTTGTTTTTATTTGGATCTTTTAATATCTTGTTTTAAGACATTAAGATGTGATTTTTTTACCATGTAACACATATTGCATAACTTATTCATCTATCTTCACTCTCTTTCCCTCCATAGCCAAATAAAGGCTAAAACACATGTGAAGCAAAA